AGAGTTTTATGGTTTCATGACTTACATTCAGGTCTTTGATCCATTTTGAATTTACTTTTGTGTATGGGGTTAGACAGTGATCCAATTTCATTCTCTTACATGTAGCTGTCCAGTTCTGCCAGCACCATCTGTTGAAGAGACTGTCATTTCCTCATTGTATGTCCATGGCTCCTTTATCGAATATTAATTGACCATATATGTTTGGGTTAATGTCTGGAGTCTCTAATTTGTTCCACTGGTCTGTGGCTCTGTTCTTGTGCCAGTACCAAATTGTCTTGATTACTATGGCTTTGTAGTAGAGCTTGAAGTTGGGGAGTGAGATCCCCGCCACTTTATTCTTCTTTCTCAGGATTGCTTTGGCTATTCGGGGTCTTTGGTGTTTCCATATGAATTTTTGAACAAGCACCATGAAATTTTTAAGTTGAAAACTTGTAAGCAGAATTGTATAATGGCCTAATGCTCTGGTAGAAACATTTTCTGTTCCCTAATTTTAAAAATGTAACACCATTGTCACCTAAAGGATCTTGTTATTTTCCTTTATCATCAGTGTTCTTTGACTCTTGATTGAAAAATGAGTTGCAAGACACTGAGAGAAAGTGAGACCTTTACTAGAATCTCACTCTCCCCTTTTTCCTCCTGGTTGTGAATAATCACCCAAACTCAGTAAATCTTTATAGACAAAAATCTAGGACTAGTGTGGACCTAAGCAGTACATAGATTTGAGAAAATGTATGTTTGATACTTGATCATACTTAAACTTTTTAAGAAATAGCTAAATGTAACTTTTCTTAGTTTTTTTTCCCTCATCTAAAAGTAAGAAATTTAATGGAAAAAAATATTGTCATTTGAAGTAAATTAAGATTATTTCTATAGATCACCAAGAAAACGAAGGTCTAGGTCACGATCTGGTTCTCGAAAGCGTAAACACAGAAAACGATCACGCTCACGCTCAAGAGAAAGAAAGAGGAAGTCATCACGTTCATACTCAAGTGAAAGAAGAGCTAGAGAAAGGGAGAAAGAACGGCAGAAAAAGGGATTACCTCCAGTTAGATCTAAAACATTAAGTGGTAAGTGACATTTTTATTGATCTTTGATTTCAACAAATACCTGCTACAAAGTCTCTCAACCTTATTTTCAGACCAAGAAGTTGAGAAGTGGTTTGGTAAATGAATAATTTATCCTTGGTTTTTGTAAGATGATAGAGAAGAAAAGAAAAAGGAGGAGCAGGTTCTACTCAATTAATAGAGCTGTTGAAAGGTTTTTTTTAGTGCAGATTATAAGGTATAGGACTTGATTGATGATCTGTAAGGGTAAGCCTAATGTCTATTACATGGACATAGTAACTTCCATGCAGTGTCCTAACCAATTATGACCACCAGGTCTACAGGAGTAATTATTTTAGGACGCATGTAAATATTAGAAGCTAAAATTCATACTGAAGGAGATTCCTATTGAAGAAACTGTCCCCCCTTCTCTAGTGTTTGTTTTAGAACAAATTTGGTACTAGTGGGAGTTTGTTTTAGGAGCAGGCTAGGGGAGTATTGACTTGATAGGAATGTGAGGCATAGGAGCGTAAGCTGTAATTAGTACCAAATAAAGGATTCTCAGTGGGTTGTGACTTTATCTAAGTGGAACCAATGGACTGCAGATGGGCAAAGTCAATAAAATGGAGCAAATTGTCATTCTTTGATAATTGATATTACTTACACTGTTGAAGGATTATGGAAATCCAGTATTACAATTAAAGGCAATAGTTGTCCTCTTACTAAGTCCTGGCAATTTGAACAAGTGTTGACTATCTTGCCAGACTCTCACCTGATTGAGAGTCAGTTTTAATTTAGTAATGTTGATGTTCCTAACTCTGAAAGTTTCTGGTTATTTCTTAGGGTAAAGGGCCAAATTAGAACATTTTAGTGCTGTCTGGATAAAGAAATAATGTCAGTGATCTGGCTGTAAAATTTCTACTATAATGGTCATAAAATGATCTCCCATGATGGCCGTTAGGAATCCAGAATCTCTGAAGGTAGGACAGGGATTTCACGCTGCGTCTCATTCAGCTCTTCACCTGGCTTGTCGTGTTGCTACCATGTGATTTATTTTATGTTGCTGTTTTATTTTCATGGGTAAGACACACAATAAAACGAAAATTGAGAAAGTACATAAGAAAATACAGTGCAAAGCAGGTCTCTCATTTTTTGCCTCCAAACTCTTACTCAGAAACAATATCAGTTTCATGTGACCCCAACACATTTTAACCCTACATGGTAGTGCTTCCCTCCCCTTGGTCCTGAGAACACGAGTTTTCATGAGCAGTCTAGGGATATGAAGCATCAACAAAGAGTGACATCCTAGAAATTAATTTCCCCTTCTCGTGGGATAGGAAAGACTCATTATTGCTTTCTGGGGGGAAAAAAATGAAGTCCATGTATAGAGAAACAACATGGACAGAGAGGGGAGATAAGGGACAGATTCAGGGTATATCAAGGCAGCTGAGATACACAGGGAAGAGTAATAAAGAGATGGGAACTATTCAGTGGAAGAGACTGAGAAATTTGCTGAGGTTTTGTGGTAGATTGAATAATGATTCCCCAAATGTGTTCACATAGAAATCACTGGAGCTTGTAAACATACTTACTTAGATAGTAAAGGGAACTTTCCAGGTCTGATTAATAAGGATCTGAGGTGGGGAGATTAACTAGGGTTATCTAGAAGAGCTCAGTATAATCCACCAGTCTTTATGAGAGGGAAACAGAGGGTCAGAGAGAAAGGTGATGTGAATATGGAAGGAGAAAGATTGATAAATGCTACACTGTTGGCTTTGAAGATGGAGGTTGGGAATGAGTCAAGGAATGCAGACAGCTTGCAGAAGCTAGCAAGAGCAAGGAAACCAGTTCTGCCCTAGAGCCTCCTGCAGGAATGCTGCCTTGTTAACCCATCTGAGACCTCCAGAACCCCAAGAGAACACATTTTTGTGTTCTAAGCTACTAAGTTTATGTTATTTTGTAACAGCAGCTGAAGAAAACTAATACAATGCTGCTTGAGACTTTGGCTAAATATTGTTATGTGTCCATAGAGTAAGACTACATGAGGCAAGAACAAATAGTAGGGAAAGAACAGTACCAGGGATTTGTTAGCTGAGTGATTCCTAAAGCTCATACAAGTCTGGAAGGACAGTCAGTTCTGACCAGCCAGAGTAGAGAGACCTGCATATAGTAGAGATCCTGTAATGATCACATCTTAATGTGGAGCTAAATTAGCTCTAGAGTAAAACCTGTTCTAGACTTGCCCTATTACAGATAGAGGGTAATCAAAAGGCTGAAAACTTATTTTTGAAAATTGACAGTGACACAAATCTAAATATATTAAAACTGCAAACATACTTTTAATAATTTTAATGTAAATGTCTTCAGGAGAAGTAAATGATCATGAAGGTATGAACAGTACAGCTAAAAGTAAGCAGTATGTCTCATAGTGTTTGTTTATTAAAGGGAAGTGGCTTCCAGCAGTTAAGTATCTTTACATCTTTTGTGATTGCAAGGAGCTCTAGTCAGCCCTTTCTTTGTATTTCCTCGCAAGATGTTATTTCCTTAAGGATAAGATACTATTCTCAGATTCAGTCATAGATGAGGAAGAAACGGCCACTCAATCATTCCAGCACAGAAAGATCCTTAAAAGGTGCACAGATAGGGTTGCAGTGAAGAGAGGTTTTTAAAACTTTGATAAGCATTAGAATTAACTACAGAATGTTAAAACTCCCCGTTCCCAGCCTGACATACCCCTTACCATTCATCATCTTTTAAAGTGAGACCCAGGTATCCATAGATGATTGAAGTGTGCTTGAGAACAGTTGACATGAAAGATGTTGACTTGGTATACATGTGAATGGATACCTGGGATTTAGTGTATTTTAAATACAACAGATAAAATTGTCAACAGGTATATTAAATATACTATCTTGAATTTTAACCTATTAATGATTTTTCTCAGCTTTTCCTCCTTGAAAGAAATAACTAGGTGATTTAAGACATTTGTCTCTTTATGTCTTGACAGTGTGTAGTACTACTCTGTGGGTTGGTCAGGTAGACAAGAAGGCCACACAGCAAGATTTAACCAACCTGTTTGAAGAGTTTGGACAAATTGAATCCATTAATGTAAGTATTAGTTCTTAAAGAATAGTTAGGGTTAAAAGGGGTGGGAGGATTTTTCACTTAGACAAAGAGTCACTTTGGCTCCTGCTTGGCCTAGTAGTGGTATTTGTCTTTAATACAGATCTCTACAAGGACTGTTGACGTTATCATTTCTGTGTTTATTCTGCTGCTGTTTATCTTCTTCCTTAATTAATTTTTCTTTTTTAGTGGAATTCTGACTCTGAAATTCTAATCCCAAAGTATTCTTAGGTGTTTTATAGCAGTGTAGCATTTGTTCTTTAAATCATCCAGTGTTTGAGTTCATGAAGTTAATGTGTGATCTAATTTAATTCCTTTTTTAAAAAATGAAAATGAAGAAACTGAGTCCCACAGAGTTGTAATCAGGGATTGGTGGTAGAAATACAGCTGGTGTTGGGGTTGCGGGCTCCTGCCAGGCTCTTCCCTCCCACTCCTGTCTCTCCCTCTCACGCAGACCTTGGGCAGGAAACTCCGTGTGGCCAGGGCATCTCCAGCAACTTGAGCAAAACTCCTCCACTCCTCAACTTGATTCTTTCAGTGGTTGTGCCACACCCAGTCTCCTTTTTTGAGTATTTTCTTCTCCATGAAGAGCTATTGTTTTTCCCTGGGGCTAAAACTAAGTAATGAAATATTCTGTGGTCATTTATTTGTTTGAGGAGACCTAAAGTCATTAACCCTAAGTTTTTATTCACTGTTACTACACTTTTATATCGACTGGACCAATGATTACTATTTATTGGGGAATTAGTTGGTTCTTTCTTGTCTTAGATGCCAACATTCCTTTCATCTAAGTTTGACTTTTCTTTATTAATAAAAGCACTCTTCATTTGAATTGAGTTTGGCCATTTTGTGTTTTACTTTCAACTATGTAAGATTTTATTGGAATCACAAGAAGCTGGTTAAGTAATTCAGATACCGTTATTTTACAGTGAAGAAACTAAGTCACTTATGTGAGTTATGCAGATGAAGAAATAGGTGATTGTTTAATAAATAGGTAATTAATTGTTTCATCTTTGGTATTTCAAATGCCTCTTTCTACATCATGAGAGAGCTGAAGGCTTCTCTTAACTTTTCTGTCAGTTTAAATTTCAACTGTCAGAACGTAACTACATTTCATAGTCCATGATCATGTAACCTCTGAAATTGTTTCTGGTTTTTCCCTGTCCTTTTAAAGTAGTGGTTCTCTGCCTTATCTGAGAATACCAGAAATGGGCTGACATTTGAAAAAGTAGAGATGCCTGTGATCAGTATCTTTAAATTTTATCAGAGTAACCAAAAACTACATAGAGGTGAATCTGATGCAAACCCCAGGACTCACTGCTCTGAACAGATCCTAAGTCCAAGTAGCATTTTGGATTTTCGTGTTGCTTAGGCCATTTATAGTCTCTTTTGTTCCAGTCTTTGGGACTCAAGTTTGCCTTGTCTCCTTCCTCTTCTGTATTACCTTTTAAGAGTGTAATACTTATAAATAATAGGTGCTAAGTTATTTTGTGAACTGAAGTGTACTGAATGGCTAGTGATAAAAATGTAGGATATGAAAAATTGATGGAAGGAAGATTTATAAACCTTTTGCTTGGTTTGGGGGGAATTTGAAGACTGAGAAAGTCTGTTAGATTTAGCATTAGGAAAATTGGTGAGGTTGAAGAAAATACTTTCAGTGGTTGGTCGACTTAGACCTACATTGCAAGAGATGAAAAAGTATGTAAGGGGTTAGATAGGCTTTTCTTGAGAAGTTTGGTATTAAAGTGAGAGCAGCTTGAAGTGCTAGCAAGACTGAGGAAAAGGTTTTTTATTTTGATGAATAGTGCTTTTTAGGTATCAAGTAGTAATAAGTGATAGGATACCTTTTGAATTCTTCAAAAAGGAACTGAAATGCTCTATGGGTTCTGAATTAATACACTAAGGATATTTTTGTGATCTGGAGGTGTGTAGAATAGTTAAATGCTTTGTAAATAAAACTCACAGAGCCTTACAATAAGGCAGTTTTCCTAGTCATGTTAAATAAAACCTTTGTCCAGAAACACTTGGACAAATTAAGTTTTATAAAATTGAAAAGCTTTAGTTTTATCATATGTATAGATTATAGATTTTATATTAAGGATAAAATACTTCCCCAAAACAAAAATCCATCTCATAATACTCAGTATTTCATTTGGAAAAATTGAGATACTATTGTGAATAAATTGTGTGCTTTCAAATATGTTGGCCATAAAATATTTTCCTTTTATCTGGTGGTATAATATGCATGTCTCCATATTTATTTATTATTTTAATAGTACTTTATTGGGTATTAGAAAAACTTTGACGTGATACTCAGTATTTCATATATAATCGTGGTTTAGAATGAGACCCAATTAGGTTTTGAACCTTGGGATTTTTAGACTAAAACAGTTAATTATATGTGAATTATACCAATAAACAGATAGCTGTAAGAAGAAAAGGAGAAACAATTCAGTGTTAGTAGTCAGTATTTTGTTTCATTAAAACCATAAAATGCCAGAATGAATTGCCATACTTATACCCTTTCTAAAGAAAACTTTTCTTAATAGATGATTCCTCCCAGGGGCTGTGCTTATGTCTGCATGGTTCATCGACAAGATGCCTTTCGTGCTCTTCAGAAACTTAGTTCTGGATCATATAAAATTGGGTCCAAGGTCATTAAGGTGAGATTGGCGGTGATCATGTTATATTAGATTAGTAGAATTCAATTTGTTTAATTCATATTTTTTAATATTGTGGGTAAGCCTCAATAGAAATTTATTGTTTCAGTATTGTTAGTTATAGAATTAGATTATAGGTAAAATAACCAGAACTTCAGTCAAATGGTCCTTTGAAATCACACAGGCAGTTCTCTTAGTCAACTAGGGTACCATTTGTGAGCAGGACTTCTTCATTTTTACATGTTTGTCTTACATTTTAAACATTTAAAAAAATGTTCATATTTTAATTTCCCCTTTTTAACATCTGTAACTCCAGGGAAAGGAAATCCTGGGACAAAATTCCTCTAAAACTGAAATCAGTCAAAGGGAAAAAAAAAGTTTAAAACGCATTTATTGCTTAAAAACTGCAGTCCAGGGCTGGCTCTCTTTCCTGCTCTGGCAGAAGCAGAACCAGCACCCCCCTTAACCTCTCAGGTTCTGATAAGCCCTTGGTTGCCAAGGTAATTATCCACTGATATTTCAAATGCCTCTTTCTACATCATGAGAGAGCAGTAAGGCTTCTCTTAACTTCCTGATATGGAGATGAATATTTCTCTACCCCTGAGGAACGCCTGTTGATATGCAGGTGAACAAAAGACAGGTGAGATGCTCTGTAAATACTAGTTTTACTCACAACATCCTATACAACCTGGCCTTTGTGAAGGATTTATCTATAAGTATATTTTATTTCCCTCTTAGTCCTTAAACTGAGTATTAATTGTGTATTTTTCCTTTTTTTTTTTTTTACTTCTTGTGAATACTTAACATTTCTTCTTTTGGGAGATAACTTTATTCCATCAATTTCTGAAACTGTTAAAAACTTTAAAATAACTTCTTTTAGGGGAGTTATATGCCCATGCTTTATCATTTCATGGCAGAGAGTTTATGTAAATTTAATATTTCACTGGTCTCCTCTTTCTTGGAGTACCAAGGTTTTGTTTAAATTACAGTAACTGTTCTAATTATTGCTAGCATAGGTTGAATGATGAAAAGTAGATTTGGATTGTTTCTGGAAATGTGTTGTTTTAAAGTTAGTTACAGTAAGAAGTAGAAACAGTCCCCATACTATAAATGCCATTGCTGTCTAATGCAGGTTTTATTTTAAAAACAAATAAAAACAGAAAATACCTGGAAAAATTTTCCTTCACTACTGTTATTATTCCAGCAATGATACTTTGCATTGTTTACATATAATTTTGAACATTTTACCTTTTCTTTTCTCATTTCTGATAGATTGCTTGGGCTTTAAACAAAGGTGTAAAAACAGAATATAAACAATTCTGGGATGTGGATCTTGGAGTTACATATATACCTTGGGAAAAAGTTAAAGTAGATGACTTGGAAGGTTTTGCAGAAGGAGGCATGATTGATCAGGAAACTGTAAATACTGGTAAGAACCCTAGGGATAGCTTTATTGTTTAAAAAGTATGCTTAAAAGGTTTAATTGATAAGAGTTTTGCATGGTGCAGTGAATTGTATTTATTTTGTTTCCTGGCTTCTATTCTCCCCACAAAATGAAAACAAAAACATTTGATTTTCAATGTATGTGCTTAATGGTCCCCTTGTAAATGTGAATATAGATAGTATTTTAGAGTCTGTCAATGTAGCATTTTTCATGTATATCTTTTGCAGTTTAGCTCTTTAAGAGAGAGAGTTATATATATGGAGACTTTCTAAAAGTAAATAATTTTTTAATATTTAACTTAATGCTTTGAATGTAAATGAAAACTGGGGACTTAGAAGGCTTCTTTTAGAAACTTGATTATTTTGATTAGAATCCATGTTGAGATGGCAGAAACAAAGTCTTAGTTTAGAGAGGCTGTAGTTCAGATTCATGCAATTCTAGATTGCTTATATCCAAATGATAGTCCTTCCTGCTATTCTTGAAAATTTGTTTTATTTTTAAAATTCCAGTTATAAATTCAGAAAATGAATAGCAGTTGTAAGTTTAAGAAATCTTAAAATAGTTGGAAAAGAAATGTGATATATACCTTATTTCTTCATATCTTTGCTCTTTTGCCAAACTTTACTAGTTTTCAGAATACTTTTGTTTCAGGCCAGTGCACATATTTTCAAATAACTTCTCAGTCCCTCTTTTTTTCCTTGATGGATTTTTCTCTAGAACATTAATTTGTTCAATAAATATTTTCATTCCTACTGTGTGCCAGGCATAGTTTTAAGAATTGGGATTATAGCAGTGAAACAGACAAAGTCCTTCCTCTCATGAAGTGCACACTGCAATACAGGGGTTGACAACCTAGAGCCCATGGGCCAAATCCTTTTGGCAGCCTGTTCTGTAAATAAAATTTTAGTGAAACACAACCATACTCACTTGTGTTTACCTATTTTACATAATTTTTTTCAACGGTAATTGAGAGTAGTTGCAATGGAGAACAGAGAGAAAGGAAATTTGCCAACTCATGTTTTCATGGAAAGAAATACAAAATAGATAAACTACATAGTATTTCAATGTTGGTAAGTTCTAAGAAGAAAACACAGGGAAGGTAGGGACAGGCAGTATGGGTGTGGAGCTATTGCAGTTTTAAGTGGCTGAAGAAGGGCTAATAGGTTGATGTTTGAAGGGGTGAGATGTGCAAGTGTTTGGGGCAAGAGCATTCCATGCAGAGGGAACAGCAAGTTGAAGAAACTATTCAGAAATGAGACAGTGTAGTTTGAGCAAAGATAGTAAGGAGTAAATAGATCAAGTCGGAGAGCTACAGAGGTGATGTTAAGTAAAGTCCTACTAGTCTTTGTAATGACTTTGATCTTTACCCTGAAGGAGGTGGAGAACCATTGGAAGAACCATTAGAGCTCTTTTGTTCTATTTTTGTAGCTGTATTTTCAGGAAGACTTTCTGTTTTGGATCAATACTTGTTGGTGTCTCCTTGTACCTTGTGACAAAATACAGGATATGGTCGGTTCCTCATTTATCAGGCAACCTTTGGGATATATATCAGTTGTATCTCTTCTGAAGTCTTTTCTCTAAATATTTTAGTGTCTTTCATTTGTGTCATATGTCATGCTGCTTTGGACTGCTTAACATCCTAATCAGATTTATATGGGAAAAACCTAGTTTTGGACACAAAGATATGCCAAGGTAGATGAAGGACTTAGATGTGAAATATATGTACACATAGAAATAAATGTACACTTACAAATAAAATGAAAAGTTGCACCTATCCAGAGGAAATCAATTTCAAATATCTTGTTTAGAGTGGGAAACTGTGAAAAGCTCAGAACCTGTTAAAGAGACGGTCCAGACAACTCAGAGCCCAACTCCAGTTGAAAAGGAGACAGTGGTCACAACCCAGGCAGAGGTTTTCCCTCCACCTGTTGCTATGTTACAGGTTAGTGCTGGGTGTTTTTGGTATTGTTCAATGTGTTGTTTTACATTTCTGTTTTTACTTGTATATTTAGTTTATAAAGCTTAGAGGAAATTGTCCAAAATAGAACACATGAGTTGTCATTTTTTTGAGAAAAAAAAAAAATTTTTTTTTTAAGAAGTGGTATCATTCATATTTAAATGTTTGCTTAACAAATATTTTTTGATTGCCTGCTCTTTGGCATTCACTGCTTTTACGCAACTGGGATACATCAGTGAAAAAAAACCAACAACAAATCTATGTCCTTCTGGAGCTTTTGTTTTCAATAGGAGACAGAAATTATAAAATGAGTAGGTTTTTGAGATACTATGGAAGGAGAAAAGGCAAATGAGGATCAGGAGTGCCTGGGTAGGTGCTGACAATTTTAAATAACATGCTCAGGGAAGACTTAATTGAGAATGCAACATTTGAGCAACAGTGGAAAGTTGCTGAGGGAAATAACCACGTAGCTCTTGCAGGAAGAGCATTCCAGGCAGAGGGAACAACCACTGCAGAGGCCTTGGGCCAGCAGCTAGCAAGGTGTGTTCCCAGAAGAGCAAGTGGGCTGGAGCAAGTGAGTGACAGGCAGCTTAGTGGAGGGGATACTCTAGAAGGCTTTTGGTTTTTCCTGAGAGATGGGGAGCCACGGGGGGATTTTGAAGAGAGGAGTGACTTAATCTGGCTTAGGGTGTTAGAGGATTGCATTGGTTACTGTTTTGAGAATAGACTAGTGGGCACTGATAAAAACAGACCCGTTAAGACACAGTTGCAGCCATCCATGTGAGAGATGATGGTGGCTCACACTAGACTGATAGCAGTGGAAGGAACGAGAAGTGGTCAGATAGGTGTGTTTTGATGGTACATACATTTGGACTTTCTGGCATGACGAGATGTGGCTTGTGAGAAACTAGAGGCAAGATTTTTTGGTCTGAATAATAGGGAACTTGGAGTTAACATCTGTGAATGACAAACTGTGGGAAGAGTTGTTGGAAAGGACATTTGGGAGTTCAGTTTGAAGTTTGGAGTGTCTTTCAGAGAGTGAGGTTGAGATGTTGAATAGATCATTGATACATAGTGAAATTTAGGAGAGAGGCACAGCCATAGTGTAGATAAATATTTGGGAATTGTTATACCTAGGATGAGTAAAAGATATTTGTGCTAGGAGTATAAAACAAATTTATGAGAAATTCAAGCCATTGTAAAACTGTATTGACATGCTTCTTAATGAAGGGTTGGTTGCATGATGTAGCTAGGTAAGATGAACATTGGGATGGCAGTTTAAAACTGAGTATGATTCTCACTGTTCAAGTAGGCATCCATTACTGTACATTACTTGAATGTAAGCTAGATTTCACAATTTCCATGTATACTGTGTGTTTGAGTAATACTGCCTTGCTTTTACCCCAAATAGTTTCACTTAAAAGTATACAAAAAGGAAAATGACTAAAAACTTAATATAATGGTATTTGATATCTTACTAAAAAAAGGAAATAGAAAGTTTACCTTTAGATATTCCAAGATGTAATTAATGCGCGATACAATGATTCATGGACTTTTTATTTCTATCCACCAAAGATTCCAGTAGCACCAGCTGTGCCTACAGTTAGTTTAGTACCACCAGCATTTCCTGTGTCAATGCCGGTTCCTCCTCCTGGATTCAGTCCAATCCCTCCACCTCCTTTTCTGAGAGCAAGTTTTAACCCATCACAGCCACCTCCTGGTAAGGAGTTTTCATCTTATTATTTGAACTCTCTTTAGAATATAAATTTTACTTTTTCAGGTTAAAGTGCTATAGAGCAGTGAGTTTGAAACTTTAGCCTATGTCAGGAACTTTTGGAGGGTGTGTTAAAGCAGAGTGCTGGTTCTAGCTTCCTTTTCCTTCAGTAAGACTGAGGTGAGGCAAGACGATTGTATTTCTAACAAGTTCCCAGGTGAGGCAGATTGTTGATGGAACTTATTTTAAGAAGCACTGACAGAAAGGAAATGGAATCCTTTTAAAATCATTGAAATACTCTTAAAATAATTTAAAATTCATGTTGAAGTTTTTATATCAAAGTTCTCTATAGTTCTTTACTCATTCATCAGAAAGTATGCATTCAGTTATATGAATTGTCACTCCTAAAAATCATTACATTTCATTTTGATAATAGAAATTATGATGTTATCTTAAAATACCAGTTGAATTTGTAATACTTTTTTTGACCTAATTGTTGTTAAACAAAACTTCTTTGAATCAGTGTTACAGGTAAAAGCTTAAACAACACACATCAATTAAATATAAATAATAGCTTATATAGCTTAGGGATAGAGCTTTGAACATTAGGCCATGGGAGGTTAGAAGAATGAGGGAGCTACAAGGGTCAAGTGGTATATATTGTTTTTCAAAACTATTTTTCTTTTTCTTTGAACTTCATGAGTTATTTGCATGTTATAAGAAAATTATTTGCATGTTATAAGAAAAGGAGTACTGTAATATCAGTTCTTAGCCATTGAATAGAGTTCCTAAAAACTGTTAACAAGACCAAAATAATTCATTGTCTGAGAATGGTTGTAATTTATTTGTTATGTAACACAAAAATTTTAAAACTACAACTTAATATATAATTTGAAATTGATGCAGATTTTAGTAAGATTTTATATTTCATATTTTAGTAAGATTTTATATTTTAAATATTAGAAAATTACTCTTGTCAATGATTTCTATACTGATAAGAAATCACAAATGTTTTTCAGAAAATATTTTTAAATGATTATTTTAGAAAACCATACTGTGTAGGCTTTATAGACAGTCATTGTCTAGCATTTGTTGAAAATCACATATCCTTATTTTCCCTTTTTTTTTTTCAGTTGGTGTTTTCTGATTGAATTAAATTGTAGCTCTGTATTTTAAAAATGTCAGGAGCAGGTTTATAGTTTGATTATTTGATAATTAAAATAATAAAATAGCCAATGTAAAATTGAAGAGTTATTTCAGTGCTCAAAATGTAATGTAGTAACATCCAAGGTTAATGAAAATATGCTGATCTAGTTGGTAAACAACATATATATCAAAGAAATACAACAGTACGCTTTACAGAGGATGTTATTGCATATGGTGTTACCAGCAGCTGGAAATACAATGTTAGACTCCCTATGCAGTAATTGTGCTAACTTATAAATCAGGTTGCCTGGCTTGTATTAGCCTTTAATTTTATAACTTCATAGAGCTACAGGACTTAAACACATGCATCCATAAATAATATGTGCTCATAAGGGACTGAATGCTTATTAAATAAAAACAAGTATAAGGTAGTGTATATAAAAGTAATTTTTTAAATGGAAAATATATTTACAGATAGGAAGTTGTAGTAATGAAAGACTGTTTTAAGAATGTAGGATTTCATTTACAGCTGTTGAAATCTATGATTTAAAAGAAGTAATGTTTCTGATGCCATTGTATTTTTTATCTTTTTTCTGTGTAGGTTTCATGCCACCTCCAGTTCCACCTCCTGTTGTACCACCACCTACTATTCCACCAGTAGTACCAACATGTGAGTTTTCTGCTTTTAGAATTTTCTTTATTCATGGTAGTTTTAATGTGTTGGTTTTCAGTCTTGTGAATTACTGTTAATTTTTTTTATTATGAAAGATCCAAACACATGAATTTTTTTGTTAAATGATTCCTAAAAAATTTACACTATCACATGAGACTCAGTCCATCTTCAGATTTGCTGTCTCAAAAATGCCTTTTCATAATTGGTTTATTTAAGTCAGAATTCAAAGAGATTCCAAATCATATATGTGTTTTTTGTGTTGTATATTAAATGACTTAATGTAGAGCAGTCCTATCCAGTCCCTCCTTTTTTAATCCTTCATGTCTTTGTTTTTGAAGAACCATCTCACTTCTATATGCGAGATCCCAAATAATGGATTTGGATTTTTGGTTCTTTGTGGTATCACATATGTTCCTCCAACTTCTTGATTTTCCTGTATGTAGGAAGTTTTTCAGCACCAAAGGCTTTGCTTAGAATCTAATAGAACTTTTTTGGCAAGAATACTGCACTTAACAGGGTTTCCTATAGACTTGATATTACCTCACATCAAGAGTCATGCAATGCCCTCTTGTCCCACTTTTAATGATGTTAAGATGGAGTATTCAGGTAGTATAACACGGTCTTTATAAAAAAGTTTTCCTTCAGATTTTCATGATTGTTTCATCCATTTACCATTAATGCTTGTATCTACTTTTCATTAGTTGCAAAGTGGTTATCTTTCTAATTTTATAATGGCTTCCACATTTCTTAACTGGTATTTTTCTACAAAGAAAATTTTCTTATATTAACTAATAGTATTTAGTTTCCTGGAAGTACCTTTATACAGGAGAGCCAGGGTAGATGCTAAATTCCTTCCAGTAGGTACCAGTTTTCAGAGTATTGAATTAGTTTTATGGGTATTTCCAGTGATATTCAGTGACTGAAGGAGGAGAGGATTTCTTTTCCTTTCTTTGCACTTCTTTCTCCTTCATTTTCTGTAGTGTTTATGGGTTAATGGATTTTTCTTCAGATTTTCATGATTGTTTCATCCATTTACCATTAATGCTTGTATCTACTTTTCATTAGTTGCAAAGTGGTTATCTTTCTAATTTTATAATGGCTTCCACATTTCTTAACTGGTATTTTTCTACAAAGAAAATTTTCTTATATTAACTAATAGTATTTAGTTTCCTGGAAGTACCTTTATACAGGAGAGCCAGGGTAGATGCTAAATTCCTTCCAGTAGGTACCAGTTTTCAGAGTATTGAATTAGTTTTATGGGTATTTCCAGTGATATTCAGTGACTGAAGGAGGAGAGGATTTCTTTTCCTTTCTTTGCACTTCTTTCTCCTTCATTTTCTGTAGTGTTTATGGGTTAATGGATTTTTACTTCTAAGCAGTTGCATTTACTTTTTGAAATTCAGTTTGTTTCATCTTTGAACAGGGAGAGACCTTTTGTGTTGTTTTCTCTATACTTTTGAGATGATGCATCAGTTTTGTAGACCTTTTTAGCTTTTTGACCAATATTGGCCCAAAGACTTTTATTGTAAAGGGAATGCATATGACAGAGAGCTTATCTTTTGGTAATTAATCCATTTTCCTTACACTTTTAAAGTTTTCTCCCCTTCAGTGATTTGACAGCATTAGAATCCTTCTTTTCTGTTATGTTGGTTAAATAGGAAAATAGTTTCTCTGAAAATTAGAAGTGTGCAGAAGCCATTTCTGAATTCATTTAGAGATTCATCTTTGAGTCTACCTCCCAATGATTTCTTCTTAGTTGATTTGTTTTGGAAAATCTGGGATCAATTTAGTGGAGAAAGAAAATACCCTTTTTGTTGGGTGCTCTCCTAATTGCTCACACTGTCTCCTTTAATTCCTCTAATTCCCATATGTGATTCCAGGTGGTTTCATCCCTATTTTACAGCTGTTTTATGTGCAAAGAGTTTGTCTAGGGTTACATGTGAGGGTAAAACAGTTCCTGAAATGCCCAAGTAAATGATTTAACAGTGTTGTGACATAAATTCGACTGAAAATTCTATGATTTAGTTGTGATTTTATATTTCTCTAGTTCTGTTATTTAACATATAAAAACATATATACTTAGGGGTTTTTCTCCCCATTCTTTAAAATGTTTATATTGTGGTTTATCTACCTAATCTCCTATCTAATGAGTTTCTAACCTTGTTTGACAAATCGTAGTGAATGTAAGGACTTTAGTACATTATAATTTCAAGGGGATTAGGCACATTTTCTTTCTCATGCATATTTGTCAGTCTGCACTAATCATTTCGGTATATTTTGATATTTCATGCATTTACATCCTTGGAAAATTATGACTTTTTTTGTATTGGGATTTTCTTAAATACTAGTCCTTATTTTACTAAACTTTCTAGTGAAAGTATCTCTAAATTGTCTTTTCCTATTAATAAAAAATAAAGCTTTCTAAATGTAAGTTAACCTCTTTGTGCATGACTCATTTGTCATTTTGAGCATCAGCTGTTATATATTGTGCTAGGTAATACAGAGATGCCATTAAATGAAGCACTCCAAGTACCAGAAGTTAGTTTGCATTACAAATGAAGTAGAGGCGCCAGACGGGAATTCCTAGGTTGTGTTAAGTGAGTGGTCTTACCAAACACTTAGGAAGAGAGGATAAAAGGTCATTTAAAACTTTGGCAAGGCCAGTGGGTCATAGTTAATATTTTAACTTAGCACACGAATTGATTAGCTAATTAAATTGGAAAAACCTTTTGTACCTTTTTTAAACAGCTTTAGTGCAGCCACCATTATCCATGACTCCAGAAACCGTGAAGGACGTTGGATTTGGTAGTCTCGTTTTACCGGGTGGTTCTGTTGCCAGCAGTCTTGCTGCTTCCACCCTGCCAGCTGGAAATGTTTTTAATCCTCCAGCTAAACAAGCAGAGCCTGAAGAAAAAGTACCTCATCTTATAGAACACCAGATTTCTGGTGAAAACACCAGATCAGGTAAAAAAAAAAAAACAAACAAACCCAGAAATATATAGTTAAATCATAAGCACTACTCTATTTGCTGTTTGAATTGGACATGCCACACATTTCCAACTAGTTTGGTGCACAAATCTTGAAATGTTGCAGTTTTTAAAAAGAGGTTGCTATCTCCTAAAATTTCTATTAAGAGTAAATTTGGCATTCTGTTTAGGATAGTATAGCTTTTGACACTTTCCCATTAAGTATCCTTCTTCCCCTTCTTTTTTAGGCAGTTGGGACTCTTTTTAATATGTTGTTACCAAATATGTATACTTAACAGAAAGATAGAAAGTAGGTCCTAGGTATAAAAAGTTACTTCTACCAGGTATTATCCAGCTTGGTTTAAAAGATAAAAACAGTGTTTGAAAGCAGCAAGTCCCTTTTTTGGGTGTGGGGGAGTGGGGGCAGCACTGTTAATACATTAAGAATTATTGTTGTTAGAAAAGACTTTTGTTAAAGGTGGAGAATCAGTATAAAACCTGATATTTTTGTTTAACTTAAAAGCTTTTGTTTAAATATTTTAGATAATAGCCTCACTTACTGTATTAATATTTAAATTTCACTGTGCATGGTATTAATAATTTTTAGCTTTAATTTTTATTTAGTGGCTAGTGTACCTCAATTCTTGGGGGATACAAGTAGCTTCTTAACTATAACATTAAAAACTATAAATATAGTTCCCTTTTCCTACCAGAATTATTGTTTTTAATGTTATTTCTCTTCTTTCCATTTTAGTGATTCCAAATGACATTTCAAGTACTGCAATTTTAGGAGGACAACCGCCAAATGTGACAAGCAATTCTGGAATTCTGGGTGTCCCAAGACCAAATGTATCAAGTAATTCTGAAATTCTTGGAGTCCGGCCTTCTAATGTTTCCAGTAGTTCTGGAATTATTGGAGCCCAGCCACCAAATATTCTAAATAACTCTGGTATTTTGGGAATACAGCCACCAAGTGTTTCGAGTAGTTCTGGACTTCTGGGAGTGCTACCCCCAAATATCCCTAACAATTCTGGACTTATTGGAGTACAGCCACCAAGTATTCCAAATACTTCTGGACTTTTGGGAACACAGCCACCAGCTGGGCCTCAAAACTTACCCCCTTTAAATCTCTCTAGTCAGAGGATGCCTCCAATCCCAATGCTGGATATTCGTCCAGGACTGATACCACAGACACCTGGACCAAGATTCCCTTTAATACAGCCTGGAATTCCACCCCAACGGGGAATCCCTCCCCCATCAGTACTTGATGCAGCTCTTCATCCACCACCTCGTGGTCCTTTTCCTCCAGGAGATATTTTTTGTCAACCAGAAAGACCTTTTCTAGTTCCTGGAAGACAAAGTGTAGACAATGTTACTAATCCAGAAAAAAGGATACCGCTTGGGAATGATAGCATTCAACAGGAAGGAGATAGAGATTACCGGTTTCCTCCCATAGAAACCAGGGAAAGCATTGGTAGACCTCCCCCAGTGGATGTCAGGGATGTGGTTGGACGACCTGTAGATCCAAGAGAAGGTCCTGGAAGGCCTCCGTTAGATGGTAGGGATCATTTTGGAAGACCACCTATAGATATTAGAGAGAATCTTGTGAGGCCAGGTATAGATCATCTTGGTCGGAGAGACCACTTTGGCTTTAATCCAGAGAAGCCCTGGGGACATAGAGATTTTGATGAGAGAGAGCATCGGGTTCTACCTGTTTATGGTGGTCCAAAAGGCTTACATGAAGAAAGAGGTAGATTCCGGTCTGGAAACTATCGATTTGATCCTAGAAGTGGTCCTTGGAACAGAGGATTTGGACAAGAAGTTCACAGAGATTTTGATGACCGCAGAAGACCCTGGGAGAGGCAAAGGGACAGGGATGACAGAGATTTTGATTTCTGCAGAGAAATGAATGGAAATCGTCTTGGACGAGATAGAATGCAAAACACCTGGGTCGCCCCCCCTCATGCTCGGGTTTTTGATTTTTTTGAAGGGACCACTTCTCAGCGAAAAGGTGATAATGTGCCTCAGGTTAATGGTGAAAATACTGAGAGACATGCTCAGCCACCACCCTTACCAGTACAGAATGATCCTGAACTTTATGAAAAACTGACATCTTCAAGTGAAACAAACAAGGAGAAGAGTGACACAGTTGCTGATGTAGAAAGTGAACCAGTGGTAAAAAGCACAGAAACTGAGGGGACATAATCATCACTCAGTAGGTAAAAGATACCTTTTGTAAAGTTGTCATCTCTCTGTAATAGGTTAATGGCTGACTGGACCATAGTTGTTCACTTTGTCTGCCAGAATTAAGTTAATCTGATGTTCATGTTCACCTTTCTCTTAAAATAATTGTACAACTGACTTGTATAGACATTGTTCTTAATATGAACATGGTAGGTAAACATTTTTTTATTTTTCTGATAAAATAGAAATGTTGCCCCCAAATTCTTTTAACTTCAAGGAAATGAATAACAGCTTGTCAGAGACTTCCTATGGAAGAAAGAATTTTTTAGATACTACCATTAGGTTGGATATGGTGATAGATATATTTCAAAATAGCAAGTGGTGGTATATCTTATCCATATCTTTAGGCTGCTGCAGAATTTTAAGGTAATAGACAAAGCTGTGATATTTTATGCAAAGACTGGCTCTAGATATTTGAGGAGCACAATACAGAGATTTTAAAAAGTGATTTTGTAAAATCTACACTATGGTCTCTGTTTCTCCAAAGTAAGTGTTTGTGATTTGTTCCTCATACTGCAGTGAGTAAAAAAAACAAAAAACAAAAAAGAAAACAACATAAATATTAAAGTACGTTTCAATGTTGGGTGAATTTTGTTTTTAGATGCCAATAAAACTTACTTGTTTGATAACAGTGTTCTAGGAATTGTATTTTTTTAACCTACAAATTCTTAAAACCCTGGATCGTTAGCAGCATGTGCTTAGTTGTTGCAAAAGTTCTCTATACTCTTAATAACAATGAAGAACTGTGGTGGAAAAAACATGTACTTTGATATAAAAACTGTGCAGTCTCTAGTATGTATGTAATATCTTTGTATATTGATTGTGTAAGTCATGCATAGATTTTTCTGTTTATTTCCTGCACATACAGAGAAAAATAGGAAGTTGATAAGTGAGATAATATTCTTTAAAATCAGATAGAAAATTAGAGAAATTCAGCTAATCTACATTGCTCATAGTTACAGCTCTTAGCATTTATGAAGGTAACATAAGAAATATCATATAAAGAAATACACTGGTAGTTTGGCAATTCTTTTTTATATAGCTAAGCATGATGCCAGATTGAGCATGGACCCAAATGTCATGTAAATAATTGCATTGCTTTGTTTCACACTATACTTGCTATTCTACCTAGATAGGGCTAGTACTAAAGTACTTGCTGGTCACTTGCCTGAAGTGAATTTCTTAATTGCACAAAATATATAGTGTTGTTGGTGGATTTTAAAACATTAATTTGTATACCAGGAACAAAGTGTCCATTGTGTGTTCTGTAGGCAGGCTCTGGGTAACACTGTTCAGATTAGCCTCCAAAGTAAACTGAGTAGCAGGAAAATTTGGGATTGGCTTCCTGTTTATTTATTATTTTGCTTTTAATTTTCATTTATTTGCTGTTTATTTCTCCTTTGGGTTTTACATATGTACACATACATATAAAACCATTGGTGCTTTTCATTTGCAATGAAGGCTTTCACTTGGTTCTTTGGATAGTCATTCTGTTTCCTGTGCATTTCCAACTTGCATCGTTTGCTCTTTTTACCTAAAATTCTTAAGCTACTTTTGTCAAGCCTGCCCAAAACTGATAGAGCACACCAGCCATTTAAAATTGGATTGTTTTTGCTTACTTCTATTATCTAGAGACCTCTTTGCCAAAAATATTTTCTTCTATAGATTCTGAGTAGAAATAGTACATTATGTATTTTGTTACTTGCAAAAGTGGATGAGAGTGGAAATTTGGTGTTTATTTGTAAGAATTCAGTTCAGTCTAGTAATTTGAGTTGGTTTCAGATCTTTTCCTTGGGGTAATGGGAAAACCTGTGACATGGGTACAAAGTTTTTTAATGTTCAGGAAAGGTTGTCCTTGTGTTTAAGGAAATTGTACTGACTGGGGTTTCTCTCAAACTACTTTAGTTGCATTTACCATTATTAAAATTAAGTGGCATTCACTTGGAGTAAGTAGAGATAAAAAGTGTGAGACTTTTCAGTGAGTTTTGATTCCATACTTTGTATTACTGTTAGGCCTTCATGTGCAAACTTGAAAACTAAAAACATGTACAAGTACTGCCCTAGTTTGAAGATTCTAGTGGTGAAAATTAACTGGTCTTTGTCGGTACCGTATCTAAAAACTCATCTGGGAATATGTGACACTTACAGTAGCTGAAAAAAAATTATGTGTACTTGTTCTCACTTTCCTTATTTGAAGCAGAATACTTTAGTGAAAGAATGTTACTCATCCTCGGGCTGAATATTCAAAAACTAATATTTACATTCACCATTATTTAATGATGAAGAGGAAAAGTTAGTTTGTCTTACTTTGATAACTTTGATATAGGACCTATCACATTTTTTATGCTTTTGATCACAATGCTGTCACTAGAATGTAGCACTTAGGAATATGCAAGGAGTAACCTAACCACTTTAATAAAATAGTTGAAGTGCTGCAGGCAGTAACTACATTAGACACCAAATCACAGTGTTTTGATTTGTGATATGTTAGAAGAAGAGTAATAGGACCTTCTGTGGTATTAGTAGATTGCAATATTATACATTATTTTTAAATGTTTTTTTATGTCTAAATTTTTCATTAAACATTGGCTTCTGTTTTTATACTGTACTTTAATCATTTATATTGTAAATAGAAACATTTTACAGCAAAGTAGTTTTTATAAGTAGCATATTAAGGGTAGATGCTCCTTTGTTCTAATTTTATTTCATTGTATAGCATGGACAAATACTTAGCATTGGAAGATGAAATAGTATATATAAAATTGTTTAAACTCTGGAAATGACTTCATAAAATATTTAATTGATAAATTTGCTCATGATTTAAACTGTTACATTCCTAACAGAGAGGTTTCTTTTATCCTGATAATTTAGTTGCTTCATGAAATTTATTGGCCATTTTTCACTCATATATAAATATTATAGTTTCTGGGCTACACATTTAGGGTTATTTTGAAGGTGGGGCCAGTTTTGTTAACATTTATAAAGAAAAAGTTATTTCTTCTAATTTTAAAAGTATTGTTTATGAACAGTGAAGTTCATCAGCTCTTAAGATGTCATTGATTTTAAAAGGCACCAATCAGAAATAAAAAGTGCTTCCAATATGACATGCTGCAGTTACAAGATCCATCCCTAATTCAGGAATGTCAAAATGTAAGGTGTTTAAGGATCAAATACAGTATTCATTATTGAGCTTGATATAGATACATTCCCTTACTCATTAAGTGATTTAAAGAATATTTTGATCTTTTTCATCGTTGTATATATCTTGCCTTAGATGGGCACAACTTTAATATAAAAGAAAGTTTTAATATTCAATTAAAAATAATTTTTGTTATACCTTATGTGCCTTCAATATTACTTTTCTGGGTGCTATATTAATAAAATGTCTGAAGGCCTTCTAACTCAAAGAAAGAAAACATTAATTTTCTCTTTAACTATTTTACACAATATAAAAGAAGTCTCTTTATTTGTATTTAAAATAGGCAAAATAAGTAAATTATTATAAGTAATAATAAATACTGTAGTGAGGCAGAGAATTATAAATGTTTCCTTTAAACTGTAACTTAAGGTATAAGGTGTAGGCTCTAAAAACTTTATTTTCCACCTCTGAAGAAAAGATCACTGCACTTTTTAATGGGAGATTTAAAAACAAGGTGGTCCAGCAAAACTTTCTGGAACTAGAATTTAAAATTAATGGCCCAGTTTATTTTCTTTTGGGTGGCGTATTTTAAACAGAGGCATGCATATTGAAAGCAATTTGAAATACATTGTCTCTGTGGTTCTCAGCTAAAGAATTAATAACAATCACCTGAAGAGATACATGTTTACATACACACACCCGTACCCCTTCTAGATAGGTGTATATATATATGTATACTTTTTAAAACTCACCAACCTCCACTTTAGATGTATTAAGATATGTATTTAGTATACCATACACTTGGGATTTTTGTTTTTTAAGAAGTAAAATACTTTAGTGATTCAGAATTATTTTTAGTGTTTCAACAAATATGTACTTAATTGTAACAATTGGAGGATAAAGTCGATTATCACAGATGTTTTATACTCAAGGATTAATCCAAAAATGAATTATTCTAGCAATAAAGGGATGGAAGGAAGCATATGAGATGGTTTATAGGAAATATTTTTGATTCAAGTGAAAACTATTAAATGATAACCAAGGAATAATCTACTTGGTATCATGAAATTAAATGTTTTCAATTATAGAAAGCCCCTTTGGGACAAAATTTCAAGCATTAAATCTATCAGGGACTAGAAATTATGTTCTTAGGACTACTTAGATGTGGATTGTACAACAAAAACTAATACAACCCAGTGGTTTATTTGGGCATGAATTTTGCTCAACCGCTGTTCTTCCCTCTACTTAATTCTCTCCTCTTTCCAGAGGCTCTTTTTGTCCTCTGTGTGCACTTAAGAGTTACGCTACCTTGTTCTAGTCAAGATACAAAGCCAATGTTCTAAGTAAAATATATAGTATATCAAGGGGTAGAATTGTGTTAATGGGCTATCTTTATATGAGAAATGTTAGATGGTTTGGATAGGATGACCTGTAGTGAAGGGAAGCTAAGACAGTGCTTATGCATAGAGCTCAGTAGATAGTAGAGAGTGAACTTGGAGCTTGTGAGTTGGAGCCCTTCGTTGAACAAGCATTAGATGAGTTGGATGAGCATGTCACACTCATGTGACAGTGGCAGATGTGTGGCGTTTGGTTGATCTGTGTTGTTCGGCATTCCTACCACTGCCACCACCACCACCGCCTGCCATGGACAGCTATCTCACTGTTCTGTGGTGTTCTCTTGTTCTGCCTTTCCCATGTTTTTCTAATCTTTCTAATCATAACACTCATGCTTCCTTTTTTACCCATTATTTCAGGCAAGGACTAGGAATTCGATTTGTCTGTGTTGAAAGCAGTTTGCTGCCCTTTGGCTTAGTGATTTCTAAGGTCATTTTCAGCATTTAAGTACCTTGAGTTTATGAAATAAGTTTTCCGTAAGAGACCAGTTGAGGAAGGAACTGAGGGAAACACTAACAGTATTAGAATGCTGTGTAAGAGAGCACAGATTTCATTGCCTTTGGGTTTTCAGAACTAACATTTGGTAGATGTATGTCTTGGGACGAATTAATGCACCTGTAAGCATCATTTCTTAATAGTTAATCTGCAGGGTCACTTTTTAAAGTTATTATTGAATATAATCTTGGCTAATATTTAATGGACACGTACTATATGACAAGAACTGGGGTAATTTTATTACCTGCATATTATCCTCATGACACTCCTGAGGTAGTTACTATTTTAATATTTATTTTGCTAAAGAGAAACCTAAGTCACAGATTTAAGTAATTTCCCAGGGTCTTGCAACTTGTAAATATTTGAGCAAAGATCGAAACCCAGATCTATCAGATTCAGAAATTTGTACCACATAATAGAATGCCAGACAAACATGGCAGAGGCTCTCCAGTTATTAGTTCCTCTTGTCTTCAGAAAAGACAGATTTGTGCAGAAAAATGTAAATTTGAGCAGCTTGACCTGGCTTACCGGGTAAGGCTGCAATTAAACACTCAACTTGGGTTTTTATTGTGTTTTATTTTATGGGGCTATCTTATTTTCCTATTGCTAAATAAGCACTTCAGCTTCATTTTCTTGGATTCTATTTTCTGGATTTTGTTTATTCTTAAGATTATGCCTTGGCATAGTACTGTTAACTTTTATTTATAACTTTGTATTTTGGAGGCAGGATTGTGTTGCATTGATATTAAATAATATCTTTTTGAAAACACGTCTCTCCACATAAAATTGCAAATCTTTTTTATTCTTTAAGGTGTTTTAATATATGTAAGACAGAGTGAGCAATTGCTTGCAGTTTGTATTTTAGGCTAATGGCTTTGGCAGCTCCTTTCTAAAATTTGACATTCACACCCTGTATGTATAGCCAAAATTTAGAATTTTCCATTGTGTATAAAATTCCTATGAGGATTAGTCTGTCCTTTAATGAAATAGGTAAAATTATTCAAGTGGTGAATGAAAACTAACACTGATGTAGTCTTCACTTGAATTCAAGCAGTTTGAAAGCTAGTTATTGTCATAGCAGTGGATAATTTGCAGTTACTTTACTTTATTAGAGTATATAACCTGATTCTAGGTTTTCTTTCAAGTCTTCTAACTTTAGATTCATATAAGGCTTATTAATCCACAGCATGTCATAGTGCTGGCATTGATCACCCTTCCTGGAGACTTCAGACAGATGACTCTAAACATTGTGGCCATTTTACTAATCCACATATCAGGCACATGCATATTATATTTGGGAGTTGTACTACTATTTCTACTAATTTTGCCAAAGGTAATTATTTTGCTTATGTTGTGATTATTACGTGAAATAAAAAAGTTTTGCATTTGAACAATCACTTTTTAATAATGGGAGTTTTGTGTTTATTACTGAACTTGGGTCAGTTTATACATTAGTAAGAATATTAATAAAATCAGACTTGTATTAAAATAACCTTTGAAAGTATAAAGGATAACCATTCTTTAAGAATTAATCTTTCCTTCTGTTGTAATTGAAGTTACTTTGAGCCTTATGTATAGGAGAGGGTAGCATTTGCCATTTCAGAAGATTCTGAAAACATCACAATCTTATATCCCTGTGGTCATACCCAGGGTAAGGATTTAGACATTTCTAAGTATTAAAATTACCAGCCCTTCATTTAGGACAGTGTTCTGTTTTGTTTTTTTTTTTAAGATAAATTGTATTTTTTTTCCCTTTTTAAAAATTTTTTATTAAGCTATCATTGATATACATACACTCTTATGAAGGTTTCATAAGAAAAACAATGTGGTTATTACATTCACCCTTATTATCAAGTCCCTCCCCATACCCCATTGCAGTCATTGTCCATCAGTATAGTAAGATGCCGTAGAGTCCCTATTTGTCTTCTCTGAGCTACACTAGGACAGTGTTTTTTATAAAATTTATTTAATATTTTAACTGCTGCCCTCCATTTTCATCACAGTAATTTCTTATTGTTAGCCAAATAGTCTGTGACCATAGGTTAAAATGCATTCTCATTATAGAGAAAGAAGGATTTGGGAATGGAGAGACTTAACATTTTTAACCTCTGTGTTTTGGACGTTTTACATAATTTATCTTCAGAGATACACTGATAGGATTTGTTACCTCTTTACAAATAAAGTATCAAACTCAAGTCCATGATCATGCTGATTTTGATTTGCATATGTGTTTGAACCTAGGCTTTGCTGATTTCAAAGCTATGCTTTACTTTAAAAGATGCTCTTTTGGGAAGGTATATTTTAATATATGGTCTGGATAATTAGTTTCCTAGAGCTGCTGTAACAGACCAAAAATTGGGTGGCTTAGAACAACAGGAATTTATTCTCACAGTTCCAGAACTGCAAGTCTGAAATCAAGGGCCACAGTCCCTGAAGGCTGTAGAAGAGAATCCTTTCTTGCCTTGTCCATGCTCCTGGCAGCTCTCAGCAGTCCTTGGTGTCCTTGGCTTGTAGATGCCTCACTCCAGTCTCTGCCTCTCCTGTCATTTGATCATGTGTCTTCACACCATCTTCCTTCGCTGTCTGTGTCTAAGTAATATGACTATCATTTTCCCATTTCAGAGGTTTATTAGAAATAGATGTTTTATATACCAAGTAAATTACCAGTTTATCAGTATTTTTATTTAGTATTATAACCTTAATATATTTATCCATTTTTTTTCATTGAATTAGCCCCCCAAGTTTTTATATGATCGAATAAAAAAATAGCTTGTGTACCTGACTGGGATCCTAGTTAAATGAGTATAGATCTTTACTATGTATCTTAGCAAGGGCTCTTATAATTTTTTTAATTTTTAATTTGAAGAGCACTAATTGTAAATAATGGCTAACAGAGACTTTTGAGACTTGCAAATCAGCATTGTATATTATTTGCAAATAATTAAGGGAGTATTTATGCAGATTTGAATATTCAACCCCAAATTGGAGGGTTGGGGAGGGAATGGAGTTGTGTGTGGTTCTTGGAGCTTTGTTGGTCTTCTAAAAGCTTTCTACATCCAAAGCTTCAACTCTTCAAGCTGTGTGTGTGTTTCTAGTTCTCAGTACCATTCTTTAAAGCCAGCTGTCTGCTTCATTAGTCCAGTGCAAGCATCCTGCTCGCCCAAGTGGCTTTCCTGTCACTGAGACATGTCTGTGATCTAATTTCAGGAAGAACAATTACAAAGCTTCCTTCCTTTTGTTAATTGTCTAAATATGTCCAGTCAATAACAATTTAGTGGTTGAAAAAAGTAATAACTGATTTTATTCAATGAAGTAGGAACTTGAGTTTTAAGAGTACGTTTTTTTCCATGAACTCGAAAAAGACTGACTCATCTTAAATGAAGGAAAAATAAGATACACTTTTTCCATGAATATATTCATGCTAAAAAAATGTTAATCACTGAAATAAACTTAACTACTTCCTTAAATTGTGTCTGACTCAATCCAGTGTATGGGAAACTACATTTAGGAAAATTACTAAAAATTTTTATTACATCTCCATATATGATACAGAATTTGAAAAGCATCTAGTTAGAGCCATTTTATCCCAAAATAAGTCTGTCAAAATTTGAGGTCTCAAGAAGAGAGAATTTGTTGGGGAGAAAAGTAAAATTACTTAATTTAACTACTACTGAGTCTGGAATCTAGTCACAGCAAACAGCTGACGAAATCATAGTAGGGAACTTGGTTCCATTGGAAATCACAAAATGCCATACAAAATACAGTTATTTGTACTTTCAAATATAAAGCAATAATTTAATTTCTTACCAGAGTTTTAAAAAAATTGAGACACTTCAGGGGATAATGTAAATTTGTTACCTCAAAAGAAAGCTAAATTTGGATTGGGGCAATCCTTTAAACTGATAGCTCCAGTCTTTGTTGGCCACATTGGTTATTTAAGATTTATTTGTTGAACTAAAATTATAGATGTTTGACTTTAAGTGGAGAGAACTAAGCAAACATTGTACCTGCCCTCAAGTTCACAATACCAAGCCTTTGTTTTAAGTTAAGCTGCATGTTTAAAGTTTTCTTCATAGTATGACTTTTATACTCTAGGTACTCTAGGCAAGTAAGATGAGTAGTCCACACATCAGAGCAGACTAAGGTTGATACCCAAATTAGTATTAGTTTTCAAAGCACCAAAAAAGGGCCCCTCTTCCTACCTCTCAAAGCAGTTCCATTTAACTTACAGTAAATGTAGGGAATATGGAAATGTTCATGGATGAAGTAAAAATTTGATGTGAAGATTCATTTGGGAAATGGGGAGAAACAAGCCTCTCTGGCTATGTGTTCTTTCTAGCCAGCCAAGGGTTGTATACAAGGGTAAGGCCTCGATTATTTTCTAAACTACTAAGCATCAAATGGAAATGATTTTAGGCAGATACAGGAATAGCAAACTGGATCTTGAAAAGAGTCATGTATTTGAGGTTGGGAGAACTGAGTGAGGCTGACACTTTGTGATTAGTCAGTAAGCCCTTCCAGATGTGATTGCCTCAGTTTTTCCAGAAGGATACTTTGTTACTTTTCCCTTTGTTCATAGCCATTCAGACAACTCCCCATTTCTTCTTGTAGCTGGTGGCTGGTGGTCTGGTGGGAAGAGAAAGTGATTACAGAGCACAAAAAGTGATTACACCTTTTGTTGGGTTTGTAGTCTGATATATACTCAGGAACCTTAAACAGCACATTTTCTGGCTGGGAGTAGGTGAGCCAGGTTTGAGTTTTCATGGTAAATATTTTTTGCTACTCACTGAGTAGTCAGGCTTCACTTTTGTTTCTTTACTGAATGTTTACATTTTTAGTTTTGACATTTCAAATAGTTTCTAATAATCTAATGTCATTTGTAATTAAAAATACAGATGTGTATGTATATGTGCTCACATATATACATACAAGTGTACCTGCGTGTTGTATCAGATACCTTCTTAGTGAACTTTCAAAAGCATCGTGCAATTTGATCTCTTTATGATGGTACTTGACTATTCTCCCAGGAATCAGGACAAAACAAGCATCTTTCCTTGCTCTGTGTTGAGTCTCATATCTGCTTAACAAACTAACTTCTTAGGAATTAGATCTTAAAAACCTGATATTTTCTCATCAGGGTTAACCCATTCTTTATTAGAAAAAGACTCCTTTAAATGCTCCAATAACCAGAAGTTAATACTAAATGTATACTCAGTATTCTTAGAGGATAAGAGTAAGCCATAGAGCCACGTGTAATTTTTAAAGTAGTAATATTTCTGATAGCTGCCTAAAAAGAAAAATACCTGCTTTAAATCCTTTTTGAGTCATTGATTCATCTTCTGATTTATTGTAGCCAAGCAGTGTTCCTTAAAATGACTGTCCAGTGCTCTTAATAGCATCAGTACTATGGTTCACTTTGTGGATTTGCTTTGGCTTCTTTCTTTGGACCAGCTGGGTCCAAAGCTGCCAAGTCAGTTGAGGCTGAACCAGATTTAAGACAGAAGGAGATGTGAGATGGGTGACAGTGAAGTGATGTAGTCGTGGGGATGCCCCTTGATAGCCTTTTTTATATATTCAGTATTCAAGAAGAAGAAACCTGTTTTTCCTGTCAGTGACTTTTTTTCTTTTAAAAAGCTATTGTATAGGTGTACTCTTGGATGTTGTAATTCTGAACTCCCTTTTACTAAACCGATAAATTCAAAGTGAAGTACTTTATTTCATTACTAATGTGCATAGGATTGATTCATAGGAATCGAAAGTATGTTTGACTCATTGGATATCAGGAGTACATATTTGAAATGCCAAGCAGTAGACTTCTTGGGATGATGATAAAAAACAAACAACCCAGACATTTATCTGGTTTTGGAATTTAGCCCAGGAAAGAAAACCTCTTGGGTTCTGTTCAGACAGCCTGATGTACACATCTTTGGGGCCCTCTTTCATATTACAACTTAGCCCAGTAAATGAGAATAAATTATATTCTCATTGCCTCTGTGCCACCATGATTGCTCCTCCACCCTTCTGCTCTCTAAGCATAATAGAATCTGAAATTTACTGAAACTACAAAATGCTACAGAACCAGGCCTTGCTTCCGGCTTTTCCATAGCCTTCTGATCTTACAGCTTTCATCTGTAATTAAAAAGCTTTGAAGCCCCAGGAGAGGGACCGTCATGTTTCAGGGTGCCCTTTTAACTGTAACTCTCTTAATAGACCCTTTCCTTAAAATGACTGTCCAGTGCTCTTAATAGCATCAGTACTATGGTTCACTTTGTGGATTTGCTTTGGCTTCTTTCTTTGGACCAGCTGGGTCCAAAGCTGCCAAGTCAGTTGAGGCTGAACCAGATTTAAGACAGAAGGAGATGTGAGATGGGTGACAGTGAAGTGATGTAGT